CGGGAGGCATCAAGAAAAACTAGATGAAGCTGGGTCGTCGAACGCAGTCCTCGGAGAAAAGCATGCGTCATACCGCGCTCCAACCCTAATCCATGCACTGATCACTTCGCGCCCTTTAATATTGAGGGATCGCACTGATGTTCTTTTGATTGGTGATGTTTTGGATTAGTTGCTGCTAAACCTTGTGTATTTTTGACGTGTTATGATTAATCTTGATTCCTTCTTAAGCGTTGTAACATTTTTGGCCATTAATTCGTATGGAGAGTGCATGAATGGATATATTGCATAGTTTTTGGTCTTTGAATGGTCTCGTCTTATATCCATTGTCAGGTGACTCATGTGAGCGGTTTTAATTTCGGCGAGTTGAGTCTTTGTGTGTCTTAGGTTTGACTTGTCATTCATGATCGACTTGCTTTACTTTTTGTGGGGACTGGTAGAGACGTTTGATTTTGGCACACGTCCCTTCTGCCTGCGTAGCTTCCGAGCGGTATGAACAGTTCAGGGAGGGTCCGAAAATTTCAATGCCACTACTACTGAGGGATACACGAGCCCTAGTGAAGAACATATGCAGTGGAAATAATAAACGAACTTACCTCAGAAACTCAAAAACAGGGTGGAAAGTCCCTCAAACATGGGTGTTCTTGGGGATTTCCCCAATCCCGCCCCCTTGCCGGCCGTCATTGGACGCGTCGGCAATCGTGCTCGTTTTGGGACCACAGGGAAAATTGATTGAAAAATGGAGCGCGTTTACAGCGGGCACGTTCAGACAACTCGTCCAACGTGCGTCTTTATCCATTGCTGAGCGGCAGAGGGAGAGTACCTGTCTAAGACCCTCCCCGACGTTTTTTTCCAGTTTTTCATACATTAATCGTCTGGTTTTCATCTACAACTTCATTATTGGTGGTTTTTTCCCGCGAAACCGTTCCTGAACTGTTGCTTTAAGGACACATGAGAAGCTAAGTGTGTTGTTCATGAATATGAGTAGTTCAGTGCGCGTTGGTAACATGCTCTGAAAATTGACATCATGTTAGGCTCTGTCTTGAGTAGACAAAATCAGATTCAATTAGTGGCATTTGTATACTTTGCTCTGCATCGTACTTCGTTCGCAGCCGGTGGGTGCCTTACGGCATTGGTCTATGATCAGAACCGCTAAAGTCGGATGGGTATCTATTCCACACACGAACTGGGAGACGGTCGCAAAGTATGACTGCGCCCCAAGCCTTTTTCTCTTATAAGCAAAGACAGGATAGTGCGAGTCTATCTCGCCATGGCCTTACATGGCATAAATCTGCCTTAATTTTGTTATTTTGATAACCGTTGTCACGGATGATCAGAAACATGCTAAATTTCGGCTAAGGTGACAAGTAGGTCTATGGGCTTAAAGCAGCGAGAGTGACATGTTGTAGTGGACGGACTAGGTGGTGGAGCAAAAATTCAATACATATCCTTTTCGGGGCGTCAACTACGCTGGTCGCTAATCGATGCGTATCGTTTTTCGATTTGAACATCGCTATCGCTGCTCGAACGTGCGATGCCAGCTCTGAACGCTCCTGAGGGGCGAGAGGACATTCTTTGAAAGTAATATAGAAATAGTCGATCTCGTATTAGCGTTGTATCTAATCACTAGATGCGTCAGCTCTCTCCATGCTTCACCAGTTCCTGGAGTTATATTACGTGTGTTTCCGGTTTCGAAATGGTGTTTCCGTCGTTTTCAAGGGCGAAGCGCTCGCAAACTATTTTGAAGGCCAAACATCCTCTTATCCTTTTAGACACGCTTGATGTCAAAAAATAAATCGTGCAGTGAATAGAGGCCGTGTGGATTGGGCGAAATTCGATCGACAAACTTTGTGTTTATATGAGTGAGGCAGCGTTCATAACCAGCGTTTCGAGAGATTAGAAGATGCAGCTGAAATGACTTGGTGCGTACTGGACGGGAGATTAGAAAATAGATCTTAGCTAAACAGTTGCTTCTAAACGTGTTTGCTAATCTCCTTCTACTCTCCTGTTCTTTCCATCATTACAGAGCTTTTCCATTGTTTCGTAATCTCCTTATCTTCCAAAACGCTGAATGCGGCCGCACCTGAAGGCTTTTACACTGCAACATTTCCTATTTATATTGGACCAGGTGATGTTTTTCCCGTCTGATTCAATCATAGGAGTATCGTACAGTTTTTTTTTTTGCTCTTTCTATTCCCCTTTTGTTTCGTCGATCATGCACATTTTTTCGTTAGCTCCTAGTCTTCTAAGCCGCATGGGCACTGTTGACGAACTACTTAAACCCGATCCTTTAAGCAGCTTCAGATCCATCTCGCGTCCGTCCTCACCTTATCAGCGGCTCATGGCCAATGTGATCACACAAATTCAAACTTTTGCACATGAGTTGGCTCACCCAGCTCGAAGTCTTTCCTCCTACAAGGCTGAGTCCTGGAGCTCCGTGGGATTGGAGCCGAGCAGCGCCGTTCTCTATACATGTCTATATGCTCCGCATTCGTAGGAAGGACCATGCGAAGAAAGTGTGGTAGTCGTAAACCGCATGGGCACAGCTAAACCCATTCATCTTGTAACATTTTCAGTTTATATTCAACTGCATGAGATTCCCTTTTTACATTTGGCCCCTCCCTTTCTTTGATGTGAATTTAATTCCGAAGTTTTATTCAACAAATCAACTTTAGTCTGTAGAAGATGGGAAAGAGGGTGATCGTAGGCTTTTGCGTCTGTTTTTTCACGTCTTGACAAGTCATCACGCGTTCGGATGACTCATCAGTGTGTCGTTTCACTGACGTTCCTGTTCGTTCTCTTTCGAGCTGATGCTCACTTAGATTTTTCTTAAAAATAGAACGGAACACTTTAGCGAACTTGTGGGAGCTTGTTACTTATTCTGACATAATATAATAAAGATTCAGCTGTTCAGCACTGCATTCCATGTAATCCGAATTGTTTTTCTCTCTTCCTTTCACTTTTGATTGTTTTTATATACGTCGAGTTTATCCATCGAGTTTTGCGGTTTTGGTATCGTTACGGCCAGATCAGCGCATTCCAAAAAACAAAGGGTGACGGCGTTGAGGTGAATCGAAAGGGAGACAAACGATTAGTCGGGGGGCAGTGTCAACCGAATGCGAAAGCGTTGGGGTGGGGTAGATGATTATAAAGTGTGAAAGGCCGACGCTTCCGTTTGAGAGCAAAAGAGGCCCGTAGTCGAGGACGGGAAGGGGGCATCGTAGCGCAGAATGTGGGAGGCACGAAGACCCAATACGTGATGCTTTTTTGTTTTCATACTCGCGAAAATCGTTTCCTACAATCGGCTAAACACCCTGGAGATTTCCCTGCAAAAATGGGACTCGGATGCGGCGAGGAACTATCGCGCCGCGATGTCCTTTCAACCACATTTGCACCCAGAATAGTGTGAAGCATATGTGTGCGCTCTTCCTTCTTCTCCAAGAAACGGCGAGAAGTCGTATTCTGTCCAGCAAAACTCGCTCCCTTTTGAGCAAAAGAGGGTTAGATTCGACGAAGTCGATCCATCAGGAGGCCCGTCGCGCGACAAGAAGACAGCGTTGGTAACGAGTCGCATTACGTGCTGTGCGATGTGGGACGTAGTGATACATTCTATTCAACTTGACGTGAAACCACTACAATAGGGTGCATGCATAGTCGGTCGTCCGAGCGTAACGATACGTGATGTAACGTCGAATACTCAGGCAAGTCTGACGATCGATACGCATCGAATGCTGTGCGACAGTTACGATCGTTGCTGTCGGACGACCGACTATGCATGCGCCCATACGCGCTGCGACTCGTCCGCGACTCTGCCTTCTTGCCGCGCGACGGGCCTCCTGGCGGGTACCCCGATGAAGTGGGCGCAGGACCCTTCCGTACAAGAAGTGCTCGGGATAGGTTCACCCTCGGCCCCCAATTTTCGTTGGAATGAACGAGTGTAGCTTTCATTTGCCCACAACTGGAGGCTTTGGTGATAAGTACAGCTTCCATCGTAGATATGGTCGGGAATGAAGCGAAATTGTAGTGGAAGATTGCGTCCAACCACAGGTCTGCCACCAGTTTTTTAACGCATTTGCTACGTCCCTATCCGCTAGCATTTAAAATTCCTCGAAGTGCGTGGGAATGCATGACCCACCTGTGGGCGAGCTTGTTTTTGATATTTGTTAGAATTGTCCTTATACATGCGACGCTTAATTGCTGATGAATGAATGAATGACGTGATTTGAAACTAAAAATAGACTCCCCGAGGAAACGTCGCAATGATTAGGCTTAATATCAACATTCGCAATGTCAATTTAAACAAACCACATTTATAGCGTATTGTTGGGTTTTTTATAGCTGGAAATTCAGTTTTGCTGTCTTAAGGGTCTAGGTCTATCAATATGGCATACATCTAGAAACAATCACGTGTAGTAAATTAGATTTCATCAGTAAAATCGAGTTACATCTATCTAGGTCCCGAATAGAAAGAAGAGGTAAACTAGGGATGAGCGACTGACCAAACATGATTTCGTTTTCTTTTAGATGAAGGCAGTTCCAGTTCGGAAGGTCAGTAATAATAAGCACTTGTAGTGAACTTTGATGTTATAAACGTGAGTCATACGCTAAACGTCGACACCTGGTCTAGTAAACTGATTGGCAGAAGGATATATGAGCGATGCATCAGCAGCCGGCGTTTGTTAGAAGCATTGCTTTCCAGTAATAACAGTCTGATTTGTAATAGTGTAAGCTGCAGTAGTTGCAGTCGAAACTGAAATCCATTTCTTATAAGCATTTGCTCTGTTACTCGGCTTGTTTTTCTGCCCTGTCTTCTTTTCTTGCATTGTTTGGAAACTCTTTACTTTGCTTGTTTTTCTGCATGGTCTTCTTTTCTTGCATCGTTTGAAAACAGTATTATTTCTTGTTGGATCAATAACTTTAAGATTCCGCTGTGTCACATGCGCAGCTGTCCTTGCGTAGAGGCGTCTTTCACGACTTGTTGTTGAACTGTTCTCGAAGTAGCGATGTCGATCAAGCCGCCTGTTCCGAAACCAAGAACTCGTTTCAATGTAAGTCAATTGTTGAATGAGGTGTATTCATGCCTTTGTGCGAAAATAAATCGCAGAAGTGTCCTGACGTTTGTTTATGATTGCTTGAGTCATTCGACCAGGGATCTTTTTTATTGTTGACGGATGGCGATAAGAATTCAAGAGATCGACTCTTCTGCAATCGGGTTAGACTTGGTCGAGGAATACGACCAGGAATAAGTATAGGGGACAGCAGTCACTGATATAAAGTTACTTTTCTGAAGAATAATTGGTTGCCGATCAACATCAGTATGGGTTTTGGTGTAGATGACAGAAAAGGGTATGGCCGATGTCATAGTTTGCGAATCGTTCGATTCGCAAACTATGACATCAGCCTATGAACCAGGGTTGAGAAAGTCCGCTTATGGATATAGACAGTCCAAATACTACAGGCCCATCGACGATTGAGAGTTCAGTCGTTGTGTAGTCTAGGGAATAGATATAGAAGTACTGAATGGAACAAGTAAGGCGTTTATAAAGGAAACAGCAGTACGCATTTGGAGGTTCCCCGCGCCCTACCGAATAGACAAAATATGATCACTATTGTCGTTCGGATATTCATTCATAAATATACAGTCTTTTCGGGCCTCATCATTCACGTATTTATGCTTTGAAACGCTCAGTCGCGTAACTTCGGTCATTCTATAGAAGAGAACGGTAGGGAATTCTTTGTTTTGAAAGAAGACCTAATAGTAGTAAGCGCTATCGCAAGATACTGGAGCATCCTCTAGGACTATGCCTAGTAGGGGGCAGGAGTTCTGCTCATAGGCAATCGGGTCTCTCCTTCCCGCCTAAGGTTTGTTTCCGCTTTTGACTGAAAGGAGATATTTTACGCCATTTTAAGTGCATTGCCGCCACAATGCGTCCTTATCTCGCGGTAGCACCTAATGCTAATACCAGAGTATGGATAAATAAGTAGGGTTGGCAAAGGTTATGGTTTCTTTCGTGCGCTTTGGTTGTAGCATCAAGCATGGGTCACCGGTTAGGCTCGACGAGATGAATGTGCAAGAAGCTGCGTTTTGAAAAGGTTACGTGGGATAGGTTATCACCGTCAGGAGTGATTGCTGCAAATCTCAACTGCCCCAACATGACCAATGCTATGTTCAGGTTTGTCTTAGTCACTTATTCTCTTTCATAAGAAGCGTATATTACTTCCAATTCACGCTTTCCTCGTTGTCACCCAATCTACTTTAAATTTGTTACAAGGAAGTTTTTGTGGTGTGCGTCATAGAACACAGACATGAGTCAACTGAAGTCCAGATCATTTTCAAATTGTTTAACAATAGCCCATTTTGGAATATTTGCAGAGATGATTCATTTGGGCCAGTGTTCTGAGTAAAGTCAGGTTTTGTCAAAAGGCACTGGCTAATGAAGGGATGATGCGCTGCCTTTGTTGAGCTGTTTAGCAGTGCTCGGTCAGTCTGAAATGGGAATTTTATACCACAAGGTTGCGAGACTTATTGTGCGCTGATGAAATTTCATATTTTTGTGAATTTCCTACCATCTTCTGAAATGGGAATTTTACATCACCAAGGTGGCGAGATTTTTGGCAAATTATTGCACAGTTCCAGATAAAAAGAGTGTTCAAGAAATAATGGCTATAAAAGTTCATCCAATTAACTCCTAGCACAGTATAGGTAAATTTCATGCGAACCTAATTTGGAAATACTGAGCAGAAATGATTCGTAGTATAGGTCTTGAATACTTGGATTATCACGAGTGTAGTTTGTCAGTGCATATTACTGCTGATTGGAAGGGAACTGCGCAATTTTATAATTTTAGGTGGGTGTTGAGACGCCAGTAAGCCCTTCACTTGCTCGTCAAAAGGAACTTAACGACAGCAATGTTATTGATGGTATCAATAACCTTGAACTGCGGTCGGATTCAATTTGCTCCTCCCTCGAAGGTGAGCCAAGCTTGATTTCTATGTAGCGAGGATGGGTCACTGCTGAAGGGACCCGTTTTCTTTCTTGCATATCGATTCCATCTGTACAAGTTCATCTTTTACGCATTGCTGTTTGCCTTCATGACTCTAAATTCAGGTACTTCTGGTGGCACAAGCTCTTCTCGATGCACCTCTGGTACTGCGTCGCCACATCGTTCAGCACCACCACCTCCACGTCCTCCTCCACCATCAGTACATCCTACTTCGCCGTCAGTGCATCCTCCTCCACCGTCTCAATGCCCGCCACCACCGAAGCCGCGACCAAGTCGACCGCCCCCACCAGCACCAGGATGGAAGGTAGTTCTGTTGATAGATTTTGACATATTTTACCTGAAAATATACGAATATCAAGATATATGGGGAAGAAGTAGTGTAGTGGCAAGTGAAGCTACTTACCACGCGCACGGTTCGTGGATCGAATCTAGGGCCGTGCATCGTCTGGGCCATCCAAGACCATCATTTGGGATTGGTCAATTGGTAACAGACTCGTCTGGCAGGGTTAAAACATTGCTCCCCGCAAGTCATTGTACAGGCCACATCGCATTCAAACGCCACTACGAATGTACAAATGGAAGTAGAATGCGTGCCGCATCCCAAAAAGGATTGATCAACGGCAGCTATCTTTTTATCCTTTATGGGGCAGATTATTATAATGAAAGTAGTGTCTTGAACTTCTGGGGCTCTGAGATCCTTTTGTTTGGAATCGGTGTAAATCTTAAGCGCCTTCGAAATTAGAAATTGAATGGCTTAGGGTCCAAGCTCAAATACATTGAATCTTTTTTGAGCCCTATGTGAGGCTCTAAGGAGTCACACAAACTGGCGCGGCTTTGCTGCTCGCATGTCGTCCCGCATTTATGGTCTTTGTAAATGGTATGGTCTTCAGTCAAACATTTATTCATTGATAGAACTTTTAGGTTCCCCTCGAGACTGTGCTTCCACCACTGTGTATGCCTTCTCCTCCACCGCCAGATGCAGGAGGTCAATACAGCTCTTCTCCTGTCTCTACTCCGTCTCCACCTATACCTCCCCGGCCGGTAATTTTTAATCTTCGTCTCCTGCAATTTCTACCATAATTGGCACTGAGCGAGCAATCGTGACTAATGGAAAACAAGAAAATAATTATATGGCAAAGATGATGTCAATTTCCACGTCATTCATCAAGCAATTTCTTTTATTTGTTGCAGAACGCAATGTAACTAAATTGGAAATATCAATGATAATACTTTGTGGTAGGCAGGTGTATTGCTTGAACCTCAGTCACTGCAATATGCATTTCCTTTCTTTCTCGTTTTCATGTCAGGCAGCTCTAAGGTCCGCTTTCAGTTCGTTCGATGCATTATCGAAGAGTTGCAATTTCTCGCACTGTGCAACCCAGTTGTGCTGCGAGTAGATGGGTTGAAACAGATATGGGGCCCTTTGTCATGGGAAGCGATAATTATATAATGTCAGTATCGCAGCGCCGTAGTTCAGGGATCCTCCTCAATGAAATTGGTTGAATAAATCGTTCCTGGTTTTTGATTACTAGTCATGACTTTCGCAGTTTTTCTCTTGCCAGATTTACTGATTTACGTATGCGGTTTGAATTATTTTTTTCTGTTTGATTGCCACCGATTCAGCGTCGTTAGTATCGCTTAGCTGCTTTGTATTACACAAGGTGACCATTGTGTCAAATTCTCGCAGTGGGTTATATATGTCATGATTTGCGGAAAGGGGGTCACCTGGAGAGGTTAGCGTTGTATTTTATGAAAATAGAGGTCGTGTGAGGAGGTTTTGGATAGGGAGGAGGCAAATGTTGGTTAGGATAGTGTGAAGTGTGGAGAACTAGCTGAATCTGTTTGTCTCAGTCGCTACATATACCCGCCCCTTCCCCACCCTCACCCTGCCGCTCGACGCTCTTTGGGGTTCTGATGAGGGTGTGATTGAAGTATACATAGTAGCTGGTCCAGCGACGGTATCGTCATCATCGATTGTTGGAAAGGAGGGAAGGAGTAGGGGAGATGACTGTGGGTCGTAGTAGGACAGGTAGAGCGACTAGTATGTGTTTCTGCGGCAGGATAGGGTTGGGAAAGAGGGTCTTTGGCTGGGAGAGTGAGGGTGTTGTATGTACAGTGGGAAGTAGGACAGGGTCACATTGGTAAATATCTTGCTGCATCATGGTTTCACTGTTTTTCTTGCAGTAATAAGCTACTAGTGGGCTTACGAGACCCTCATTTTTTTATTCATTGTGCATTACAATCTGTTGCTAATGTATATTTTCGTAGAAACGGTGTGAAGCGACGAAATATGCCTGTGGCGACAACGAGCTGTATGACAGTGTAGGGTAAGTTGTAATCCTTCTATTTATTACTGAGCGTGGTTATTTCATGTGCTCAGGTGTTATCCATCGACAACAACCAAGCCGAAGAATCGCGACATTGATTTCATTGAAAATCCAATCTACATGTCGTTATTTTCGCTGAGGAAGAAGCTATCACTGAAGAAGAAAAAGGAGTCAGATAAGGTTGCTGAGGCAAACAGTGTATCAAAGGACTCTTCTATAGCGGATACCGAGGCGAAAACGGGTTGTTTACCTAAGGAGGAGAGCAAGAGGTGAGGTCTTCGATGTTGACTCAATACGCGCTCGCATCGATGCCTTTTTTATTCAGCATGGAGGATCGTAAAGAGATTCGACAGTCTTCATCTGATCTCTCACTTCTATCAGGTTAGACTTTTTTTGCCTTTTTCTACTGAGGAATTAAGGCAACGTTTCATGTGGTGTTACACCCAACAGTTTCACCGCAAAGTATAGTCGAATAGAAAGTCTCGTTTCTATGTATCTCAGTAGTAGTTATCTCTAGAAGATGTTTACCGAAATACATGCATCCGTTTTCCTTCTCACATCTTTTTTCGGTGGGCCTTTGACATCTTTGTTTAGCGAGTCTAAGAAAAGATCTATTTACGTTTCTCCGTGGTGCCCAAAAGTGCTCGTGTTAGTATTTCGCGATTTCTCGCTCCGAGAACCCCAGGTCCACTCATGATCAGCAGTGAACCTGAGGTTCCCGCAGCGAAAGATGTTTCGCGCTGCGACATGCAAAAAAGTGGCTTTCTGTTGCAGTGGACCACACTCGCATAAAATTGATGTTTTTGAGCGGCCTTGAGCTTGCCAGGAAAGTGCAGAAAACTTCTCTCAGAAAATGGAACTTCTACATTTGTACAGTCGATATCTCGAAGTCTGATTGGGCGTGTCACCGGAAATGACGTGGCAGCCACCGCACTTGATAGAAGTTGCGCGGATAAGCTGCTTCCAACACGCTTTGCTGATATCTGGCGGAGTATTTTATCCACACAACATCTATCAAGTGCGGTGGCTGCCACGTCATTTCCGGTGACACGCCCAATCAGACTTCGAGATATCGACTGTACATAGCCGCTCAGAGAAAATGACCCTCAGTTTCATGCGCATGTGCGTCCCCTAGAACATGCAAAAACCCGTTTGGAAAAGCGCTTCATTTCCTGAATGGCTCCAGGTGAGATCAGTCGGACTATTTCCACAGCATGGCACTGCACGAGACCAGTTGTGAGGACTTCATTGCCTGGTCATAGTTTCTGGCGATGACTTGTGAATGGACGACGTACCCCAATCCAATGACGCCTGGTGGTAGGCCCAGCAATTTTTGGCAGCAGTACAAGATAAACTGGGAAACTGCGGAAATAATAATGGATATGCTTACGAACAAGCTTGGGGGAGGATTAGTCCTTGCTCCAGCTGACTGCAAAGTCGT